AATAAGGGCAGTTCATACATATTACCATCTCAAAAACAGATCATAACAAAAGAATTTTAAAATAGAATATAGAAAAAGAGAAACGCCGGACCTGAGCTTGTTGTGGCAGTTGTGGGGGAGTTCGTTCTCTACTTTTGTGAACAGTTTAGTACGCATAGCGACCAGTAAAATGTTKTTTRGGTGGTGTGGGTGGAATTTTGAAGTTTAGAGATCGATGACGTTATGCGTTCAGCAAGAAAAAAGAACATAGAAACGCAAAGAGAGAAGCAATGAAAGAGAAAAAAATTAACGAAAAAATCAAAACTGAGATGATTATGAATGGAAKAAAATGGAAGAAAAACAAACTRCTATGTGCATTTCTGCTGCAGGGAAAAAGGAAAAAAATCTAGCATGAAAAAAAAAAAGATAAAATAAAATAAGGAGTGGAGAAATAATAAATTGAAAGAACATTCTGGAGTATCTGATTCTTTGAATCAAAAATGCTAATTTACAGATGACTGMATGATTACCGTTCACAGATGCGCATAAAACTAACTGAATAGATTAAATCAACTTACAAAAAGCATTTCAATGTCAGTACAAATCTTAACGAAATCCTATAGTCCTTTGATTTCCGTATCCTCAAAACTTCAATAACGAGAACACGTCAGTCTGTCATACGAGACGATCGACTCTCGCATAGCTTTTTCGCCTCAAGGGCGCAACTTTGTCGATCGTCAGGAAATTGCCATTAGGACTGACAAAACAAAACCCTTTATTTTTTGACATTTGATAACACTGATTTGGAAGTTGATATGTATTGAGCGTGGAAGCGAAGTTTGTCGGGTTTGTAATATTTAGCAAATATACGCTTTTTTTCACGTTTTCAGAAAAAGTTTGATTGATTAAGTCAAGGCCCCGAATCAAATAGTATTTTTTTTGTTATCACAGCAATTTGTCATGATTTTTTTTAATTGTTATTGTTATCAAGTGATCAAAGGTTGTCGTTTTAGTTTATGTTTGATACTTATAGTGMCGCTTAATAAATACTTGCTCGCTGTAGTCGAGCGCTGAAAATTTAATTATAAAAAAAAGTCACCTGAATCATTTTGATCTCAAAGTGTGTTCTTCAGATTAAACCTGGTTTCATCAGTAACTTTTGAATCAAAGACCTACAAAAAAAAACTCAATTTCACTCAGGAAACAAAATAGAATTCCCATTATATGAGCATTCTTTACACCGTGTGTAGTATTTCTAGACGCTTTTCCTTATTGCTAATGTTTTTGATTGAAAAGCTCAAAGTTGGCGGCAGTAAAGTTAAGTGCAGTAATTTGTCGTTTTTGGCTATCTATAGAAAGAAATAGTTGTTCCCAGCTGTCACTCTTTGCTGTAAGAATGTCGAGTTATAGTTCTAATTAATACAAAGTCATCAATCGAGTTCACGTGACTAAGGATATAGATATTAAAAGCTAATGATTATATTTGTTCTATTAATTACTTTGCTCTTGATGATGAGCGACMATAAACCCATGAAACCTAAAAATGTTTTGTACACCTTCAAAATGCAATAAAATTACTAAGCCTTATAACCAGAACTGCAAGACACTTTTTTTACTTACAGTCAATTCATAAAAAGCTTTATACTAGCGGTGCCGAATGCTYTAAAATTTGATGTGAACCAAGCATTCTAATTTGAATGGATTAGCTACATGATTGACACATGTCTAACATCAACCAAGATACATATTTGTTAATTCTTGTGTTCCATTGAATCCTCCCATTGAATTGGTGAAAAAAGTGTCCTTCAAAGACAGTCAACTAACAGTTACTTAAACGTGATTAAAAGAGAAAAACTYACGAATTCAAAAATCAATGAATATTTAAACACTTTGGCGTTTGTTTCACGTTCGTATGAAAAATTTTGTTTACTTTATATTTCACAAAATGTTCATTTTCATAACCTCAAAAATACGCTCTAAACAGTAATGGTTGCTTTCTTTCTTGGACAGTTTGCAACTGACACTTTCACTGTTACGACAACTCGACATTTTACTTAATAAGGGAACACTGATTGGAAGTACAACTTTTGAAGTATAAATTTGTCTGCATTTTGCTATCTTAGCTTTCAGATTGAAAATATGCTCGATATTATACCTAAAATTGATGAACTACCTTCAGAGTCAAGAATAAGTATCATTTTCAACGTACCTTCTTTCATATAGTCAGTTTGGTTATAATACATGGGTG